TGATTTTGGAAATACACATGTACCCAGCATGAATTTTTTTTTAAAGAAATATTTTATTTAACCTTATTTATTTACTTTAATTTGAACAGAGAGGGATAGAGAGAAAGAGAGGAGGGAGGGAGGAATGAGAAAGCAAGCCTCCAGGTCCAGGACTTGAACCATGGTCGGACATGTGGGAATCTAGCGCCCTTAACCACCACGCCACCTGCAGGCCCCCAGCATGAATTTTAAGCCACCGGGTCCAGGACTCCTTACTGTACTTGACTACTTGGGAGTCTAGCAATGTAAGCATTACTCCATCTACTGGTCTCAAGTGTTTCTTGCTTCTTAACACTGTTTCTTAATTAGGAATATGGAAATGAAATACTTTGGAGACTATATGAAGCAGATGTGCCATGAACATAGAATCTAATAGTTGTTTTATATAAATAATGAATGTTTTTTCTTTGTCTAAATTTTAGGGAAAAAAGACCAGAACATTGAAGATCACTACAGAAATTCCAGGAGAATTCTAAGGTAATTCAGACTTCCAAGAGAAACTGATGTTTTTAGAGAGTACATTAGTTTGTCATGAAATTTATTATTTATTTATTTTTAAGAAATAGAGAACCATTTTATTAACATGTCTTACCTTTACAGTTTATTCACTAATAGCATTTACATCAACATGTAAAAATAAGCACTAAATACAAACCTCTACAACAAGGTTTTGTGTGAACTACAGTTGTTCATTTGTTTTGAAACATCATCAATACTTAATTCAACTGAATGGGCAAATGAAACAAAAGAGGTACCAACCTCATTTTAAACTTACTTATTCTAGGGGCCAGCAGGTGCTGTAATGGTTAAGGTGCTAGAATCCCACATGGCTGACCATAGTTCGAGTCCTGGACCTGGTAGCTTACTTTCTCTCTTTCTCTCTGGTGGGTGCACCTGCCCTGTAAAAAATTTAAAAATAATACTAATAATAGGGGCCTGTGACCAGCAGATGGTATAATGACTACGTAGCTGGACTCCATGTAGTTGACCGTGGTTCAAGTGTCAGATCTGGTGGCTTAAACTCATGCCAGGCACATGTGTGTGCATGCCCAAGATCCCAAGAGGGGAATGGAGGAGAAGGGATTGCGGCATGGCCATCCTGCCTGGGGGATGATTTCTCGCTTCCTGTCTCTGTCTTTCTCTATCTTTCTGGCAAGCGTATGCTCCCTATAGCAAAAACCTCTCAAAATAAGGGGGGGGGCAGCAGATCGCATGGTTGTTAAGGCACTAGATCCTCCTACATGGCCAACCATGGTTCGATTCCCAGAGCTGGTGCCTTGCTTTCTCTCTCTGTCTTTCTCTGGTCAAATAAAAGAAATGAATGAATAAATAAAATTAAACAATAAGTAATTTTTAAAAATACTAATAATAAATATAATTAATTAAATAATTAAAAAGAAAAACCAAAAACATTTATTCTAGAAAATTTTCTGCAAAAAGTGTCTACTCAAATGTGACCAAAAAAAAAAAAAAAAAAAAAAGATATAGATGTTAAAAGTTTATAATAATTCCCTTATAAATGGTATCAAGAAACCCTGTATAAGGCCCAGCAGATGGTGTAATGGTTATGTTGCTGGACTCCCATGTAGTCAAATTTGGTTTGAGTCTCAGACTTGGCAGTTTGGGACTCAGGCCCAGGTATGTGTGTGTGTGTATGCATGCCCAAAATCCCGAGAGGAGAATGGAGAAGGGATTGCAGTATGGTCATCCCCTTTGGGGGGTGATTTCTTGCTTTCTGTCTCTGTCTTTCCCTTAAGTGCACATGCCCTATAGCAAACATCTCTAAAAAAAATTTTTTTTAAAGATTAAAAATGAAAGTAACTCAATTAATAAAAACAAAAGTTACTCTAGTATCTTCTGTTTACCCCCCAGATTTAAAAAAAATTAATTTATTATTATTATTTTAAAATTTTGTTATTGGGCATATCCACTGACCAGAGAGGGAGGGGGAGAGAGAGAGAGAGAGAGAGACCCCAGGTTCTAGGGACCAGCAGGTGGCATAGTGGTTCTGTCACTGGGTTCCCATATGGTTGATTGGAGTTTTGAATCCTGGACTGGGCAGCTTGAAACTCACACCGGGCACATGTGTGTGCATGCCCAAAATCCTGAAAGAAAGAAGGAGAAAGGATTGTGGTGTGTCTGTCCCCCCTGGGGGGTGATTTCTCACTTTTTTTTATTTGGAGAGGTTTTTGCTATAGGACGTGTGCACTTGCCAGATAGACAGAGAGAGACAGAGGATGGCCATGCCGTAATCCCTTCTCCTCCATTCTCCTCTCGGGATCTTGGGCACGCACGCACACGCACCCAGCCTGTTTCAAGCCACTGGGTCCGGGACGCGAACCATGGTCAACTACATGGGAGTCCAGCGACATAGACATTACGCTAACTGCTGGTCCCACACTTTTTCTGTCTCTCATTTCTCTCTGTCTTTCTGGCGAGCTCACACATCCTATAGCAAAAATTTCTCAAAAAATTAAATAAAAGTTTTAGAAAAACCCATAATATTCTTAATAACCAAATGCTTAGTAATGTGCTCATTTTTTATGTTAACAGAAATCATATGGTAGAAAGACTCTGCGAACGTGAATGCATTCAATTTGGAGACACTGTCACCCAGAATCCACGTCGCATTCTGAACCAGAAACCTTCTCTTGGAGCAAGATCACATGAAAATAGTGCCTGTAGAGAAGTCTTCAGTGGTCATTTATCCCTCAGTAGGCGTAGTATAGATCAAGCCCAACATAAACCATACGAGGATCAGGAATATGGAGAGAAGCCATATGAACATCAGCAGTGTGAAAAAGCCTTCCGTCATTGCCCCTCCTTTCAAATTGATGAAAGGACTCACCCTGGAGAGAAACTTTATTATTGTAAGGAATGTGGAGAAACCTTCCTTTCTCTTGAAAGTATCCAGAAACACATGATAACACACAGTGGAGATGGACCCGAGAAACGTAAGGTATACGGGAAAGACTTTGATTCTCCCAGTTCGTTTTGTATACACGATCGAACTCACAATGGAGAGAAACCCTATGAATGTAAGGTCTGCGGGAAAGCCTTTAGTCGACCCAGTTCCATTCGCTATCATGAAAGACTTCACACCGGAGAGAAACCCTACAAATGCAGGAAATGTGGGAAGGCCTTCACCGGTTTCAGTTCATTTCTTTATCATGAGAGAACACACACCGGAGAGAAACCCTTCGAATGTAAGCAGTGTGGGAAAGCCTTCAGTTGTTCCAGTGCCTTCCGGAAACATGAACGAACTCACACTGGAGAGAAACCCTATGAATGTAAGCAATGTGGGAAGACCTTAAGATATTCTAGTTCATTTAGAAAACATGAAAGGACACATGCTGGATTGAAACCTTACGAATGTAAGACATGTGGCAAGTTCTTTAGTTCCAATAAGGTTCTTCGAATACACGAAAGAACCCACACTGGAGAAAAACCCTACGAATGTAAGCAGTGTGGGAAAGCCTTCAGTCGTTCTGGTTACTTTCGAATACATGAGAGAATTCACACGGGAGAGAAACCCTATGAATGTAAGCAGTGTGGGAAAGCCTTTAGTTGTTCTGGTTCCTTTCAAAAACATGAACGAACTCACACTGGGGAGAAGCCTTATGAATGTAAAAAATGCAATAAAACCTTCCGCCTTTCTAGTCACTTACGAGTGCATGAAAGAACTCATACTGGAGAAAAACCATATATATGTAAAGAGTGTGGAAAAGCCTTCATTACTTCCAGTTCCCTCCAAAAGCATGAAAGAACTCACACAGGAGAAAAACCCTACGAATGTAAGCAATGTGGGAAAGCCTTCAGTTCCAATTACATTCGAATACATGAAAGAATTCACACTGGGGAGAAACCTTATAAGTGTAAGTTATGTGGGAAAGCCTTTAGCTGTTCCAGTTCCTTTCGAAAACACGAAAGAACTCACACTGGAGAGAAGCCCTACGAATGTAAAAAATGCAATAAAACCTTCCGTCGTTCTGGTCACTTGCGAGTACATGAAAGAACTCATAATGGAGAAAACCACACATACGTAAGGAGTGTGGGAATGCCTTCCTTTTTCCCAGTTCCTTTCTACAGTATGAAAGATCTCATACTAGAGGGTGAGCCCTGGCTGACTGCAGGCCTGGGAGAAGGACTTGAGAGGATACCTTGGGCTGTCCACCTCCCAGGTCAAAAAGAAGAAGAGCCTGAAAGAGACTGGGAAGGCCAATGAGGTCAGAGGAGAACATAATGGGTATCCTCTCCTTGAAGCCTCCAGAAGAAGGAATTTTAAAATAGATAAAATGGTCCACTGTGACACGTGTCCCTGGAAGTTTGAGGATGATCCGGAAAGAGGATTGTTGAGTTGATTGTTTTAGTCACCAAGGACCTGGATAAAAACTATTTAGTGTTCAGGAAAATACAATAAAATGTATTTCAAATAGATTGGTCTTTATAGTGTCCCCTAGGGGACAGTATTATGCTTAGGATATGCAAGTGATAGCTTTGGAACTACTCATCTGGAAGACCTTTTCTCAGTACTAGTACAAACTCAGATACACACACAACAAAAACATACTACGAACTTTACAGTTTCCTGTTTTTATTTAAATGGTCAATATACGTACCTATAACTCTTTATTTTTAGTAGCTACGCAATTCAGAGTTTGATTCTGCCCTAGGATAGTCAACCCTATTTGTACTGATGGACAATCCCAGGAGCTTTCTGATTTTCATCCCTGAAATAATGCAGTAAAAGCAATATACTTTTTGTTTTTATTTATTCACAGTAAGAGTGCATACATGCATACATGTTAGAGAGAGAGAAGAGCACTCTCCCCCCCACCCCAGGGTCTGGTCATGCTGTGACCCTCTTTTAATTTTTAAAGATTTTTGCCATAGGGTGCATGCACTTGCCTAAGAGGGAGACACGCACAGTGAGAGAGAAAAGTGAGAAATCACCTGCTAGGGGAGATGACTGCATGTCAATCCTTTCTCCTCCATTCTACTCTTGGGATTTGGGGCATGATGCACATGTGCCTAGTGTGATTTTCAAGCTGCCAGGACTAGGACTCGAACTGCAGTTGGCCATGTGGAAGTCTAGAGCCTTAACCACCACACCACCTGCTGGTTGCCTGTGATCCTATTCTAGACCTCCATCCTATTGGATCTTGGACACTCCCATGCATGCCTACTAGGTTTTAGGCCAACCAGGCTCCGGGTTTGAGCCAGATGGGATCCAGCTTCTCCTGAGCAGATCATTACTGCTGTGCCATGGAGCCAGCCCTAAAAGCAATATTCTTAAGACTGGATTGTGCAGGATAGATGAAAATCAATCGCTCAAAGAAAGTTTGTATATACTTTTACTTATGATTGCTAGAATAATGTATTCCCTTCCTTCTTCCTTCCATTTCCCCTTCCTTTCCACCTTTTTGAATTATGATTGCGAGAGAATAAACTCATATTTAAAGTATGGAATTGACGTTTTTTTGGAATGTCTTTTTTCTTTAGTGAGATTTTTTGTTACATGGCATGTGTGTGCACCAGAGAGACAGAAAGCGAGAAATCAACCCCCAAGGGGGATGGCCATGCTGCAGTCCCTCCTCCTCCATCCTCTCAGGATTTTGGGCATACACGCGTAATTGCCCAATGTGAGTTTCAAACTGCTGGGTCTGGGACTCGAACCTCAGTTGACTATGCAGGAGTCCAGCGGTGTAACCATTACACCATTTGCTGGTCCTGAAATGTCATGTTTTGACAATGGGTTCACTGTGAAACCATCCTTACAATCAAGATGGTGAATATATCCATCACTCTGCCCTTCACATTCATTTTCCCATCTTCAGCTTTTGGTGCTAACTGGTCGGCTTTGGTTCCTATTGCCTTTTTTTTTTTTTTTTTAAAGAATAATTTTTTCTAATTTTATTTATTCATTCTTTTTTTCTTTCTTCCTTTTTTTTTTTCTTTTTCTTTTTCTTTTGTTTTTAAATTTAGCCAGAGAGAGACAGAGAATGAGAAGGTGAGAAAGCAAGCCACCAGGTCTGG